TGTGTCTGTGTGTGTGTCTGTGTGTGTGTGTGTCTGTGTGTGTGTGCGTGTCTGTGTGTGTGTGTCTGTGTGTGTGTCTGTGTGTGTGTGCGTGTCTGTGTGTGTGTGTGAACAGGTGATGAAGTGGCTGCTGGTGACGCTCTCTGTGAGATTGAGACTGATAAAGCTGTGGTGATCATGGAGTCCAATGATGATGGAATCCTTGCTAAAATACTCGTAAGTGTGTTTATGACAGAGAGATATTGAATCGATACCGAAACTTTGTAATTTTATATGAATCGATGACAGTAGAGAGTGTGAGATCTGAGACAGATAAACAAACCCTGTATGAATGGAAATAAAACAAAGAATATTTTGACTTTTGACCCCTTTTTTTATCTCCATTCAATGCTTTGCTCAACTCCCACAATAATACTAGCTTTCCCCTTAAAAAAAAAATCAATACTTGTCATCATTTATGATTTGATGTTAGGGAAACCTGTTTGGAGACCATTTGGTGATGCTAGTGGGCACAGATATTATCTCACACACCTTTGTTTTAAAATGACACAATTTGCATATTAATGTGGCATATTAATTATACACATACGTGACTTAACTGCAGCTGAGCCAGTAAAGAGAAAGCTCATTCCTGTGTTTGTCTCAGGTGCAGGAGGGCAGTCGAGGTGTGCGTTTGGGAACTCTCATAGCACTGATGGTCAGTGAAGGTGAAGACTGGACACGGGTGGAGATTGTCAGTGAAGGTGAAGACTGGACACGGGTGGAGATTCCAGCGCTCGAGCCAGTAACACTCACCACAGCTCCGCCCACTGCAGCCACGCCCACTGCTGCTGACCCCGCCCCTCCTCTGACCACCACACCTTCAGCACCCAAACAGTCCGTATCTGCAAACAGATGTTGTTTGTAAATGTTTTTATATACAGAATACCCCCTCTGGACATAAAGATGTATTATATTTTAATTGTCACAATTACGGTTTAAGACAAAATTGCAATTTATTAAACATGCTTAAAAAATATGTCATCAATATCTGAAAAATTTGTAAATTAGGTGATTTTGCTTGAATGAAGGGTTGCACAAATGAGTGCAGCCTCGATTCAATTCAACAAACGTGCAACATACTAGTGCACAGTATGTCCTCCAACGTGACCCTTCTTGGCACTGAGTTCACATGACGCGTGAAATACTTGTCCAACGAAGGATTTTCACCTTGTCATGTTGAAAAAATGCCCAACAACACGGGGAGAGGGAGATTTCTGTTCCAAGCTCTTGTGTTACATGTGTGAATTTATTTTACATTTTGGATGCTTGAATGCAGAATGATAGTCTTTGTCTCATGAGAAGAGTGTGGACTCCTAGAAGTCTTCATTCTGTTAATATGGGCTTTGTCTTGTGCTGTGGCTGCAGCAGCTGCTTCCTGTGTGTAGGACGGCCGTGCGTTTCAGCTGCTGCAGTCACTCTTCTCAGCTTTTGCCAGCTCTGAGATACTTGCTCTGCATTTCTCCTGCTCTGTTCTTAGCAAAAATCAATCATCACAAAAAGAAGGCTGAAGTGAAGGCCTGCTATGGTTTAACTTGGTAACTTTCTGGAGGGTGTACTCATTTTTGCATCACAATATTTAATGACTTTAATTCAGATCTTATTTTTCTGATTAGTATTGACATGCTTTTTTGATAGCTGATCTAGCAGACTTGCTGGAACATTATATTATAAAGGTACCCTAATATGATTTCTGTGTAAAGAGAAATCGCTGAAGGTTCAGGGGGGGGGGTCTAGTGCACAGTATGTCCTCCAACGTGACCCTTCTTGGCACTGAGTTCACATGACGCGTGAAATACTTGTCCAACGAAGGATTTTCACCTTGTCATGTTGAAAAAATGCCCAACAACACGGGGAGAGGGAGATTTCTGTTCCAAGCTCTTGTGTTACATGTGTGAATTTATTTTACATTTTGGATGCTTGAATGCAGAATGATAGTCTTTGTCTCATGAGAAGAGTGTGGACTCCTATAAGTCTTCATTCTGTTAATATGGGCTTTGTCTTGTGCTGTGGCTGCAGCAGCTGCTTCCTGTGTGTAGGACGGCCGTGCGTTTCAGCTGCTGCAGTCACTCTTCTCAGCTTTTGCCAGCTCTGAGATACTTGCTCTGCATTTCTCCTGCTCTGTTCTTAGCAAAAATCAATCATCACAAAAAGAAGGCTGAAGTGAAGGCCTGCTATGGTTTAACTTGGTAACTTTCTGGAGGGTGTACTCATTTTTGCATCACAATATTTAATGACTTTAATTCAGATCTTATTTTTCTGATTAGTATTGACATGCTTTTTTGATAGCTGATCTAGCAGACTTGCTGGAACATTATATTATAAAGGTACCCTAATATGATTTCTGTGTAAAGAGAAATCGCTGAAGGTTCAGGGGGGGGGGTCTACACATTTATGCTGTGTAATGTGTGTCACAAGCAGTTTAGGTTTGAAATTATTAAATAATTAAATGAAGATTATTGTCAAATGTCAGAAGTTAATGTGAGTAACTAGACATGTGGTGACTCTGCCAGGTGTGAAGGTAACTAATTCAGATCAGCTCTATTATGGTCAGGGTGTCTCGCCCTCTAGCACACACAGCAATAATTTAAATAAATCACAGAGCATGACATATTTAAATGCCAAAATGAGAATAGGAGGGCAAACATGCGGGCATAAAATGTTGTAATGGACTGGATCATAAATACAGTCACAAAGTCACTCAAGTAACGTCCACGTGTGCATGTGTATTAAACACTCTTCTGCCGCCGCTTTTATGATTCAGTCATGAAGCTCAGGGAAACACTTGGTCACACACAAACATCTTGTACAGTAGCATTTTCATTGTGGCTTGGCAATCACAAAAGCTCAGCACCCAATAGCAGAGTCATCCTGGTCTTACATGACAGTGCAGGCATTCATTTGCTTTGTATTGTGTGTGGCATTGATATCAGTGTGTTCTTATGTGATTTTGGACAGATTGCGCTTGAGTCCAGCTGCGAGACACATTTTGGACACTCATGGTTTGGATCCTCATCTGGCAAAAGCTACAGGTCCACGCGGCCTCATCACTAAAGAGTGAGTCACACACACACAGGTTTGTTTTTGTGAATTGTGGGGACATTCCATAGGCTTAATGGTTTTTATACTGTACAAACTGTATTTTCTATCTCCCTACACCTAAACTTACCCCTTACAGGAAACTTTGTGCATTTTTACTTTCTCAAAAAAACGTTATAAGCGTTTTGAAATATGGAGACATGGGGCAATGTCCTCATAAGTCACCTTCTCCTTGTAATACCTGTCATACCCATGTCATTAAACAAATTTGTGTCCTCATGTCACAAAAACACACACACACAGCTGTGCAGGTTTCATATTATATATATATATATATACTGTATGTATATTATGTGTGTGTGTGCACAATACAATTTTCATATACAGTGTTCCAGTAAATCTATTTTTAGTTTAATGATCTTTCAAAATGGAGGGTGTTAGACACACACACACACACACACACACACACAGAGAATCCCACTGAGCAGGCTCATTACTAACACGTTACCATGGCAATGCAGCCTCCTCTTTCTGGGTGTCCATAGAAACAAAGAAACTGACACCTATTAATACCTCGAATCCACTGAAGATCTGAGGATGACAGTTCAGCTGCGAGAAAGAGGGACACAATATGCATTTCTATTAGATTATCCAGGTTATATTATAGGGGTGATATCATCATCATTATTATATATACATTTTCTCCATGAAAATTTGATTGGTTTGATTTGATTTGATTGTGCCAAATATATTTAAAATAGATATTTATGACCACTTTTACCAAATCTCTGACACTTAAAAACACCTAAAGGCTAAGCAGATCATAGAGACGGTCAGTGCTAATGATTCTACAATCGCATTAGACTTAAAGAGTTTTTGAAACACAGTCCAGGCTGTTTTTCACAGATCTGACTTTAATGCAAATGATCTCTGTTATGAGGATCTCCTAGCACATGATAGAAGCACTCATACAGAAGCGTTAAAGGGTTAGTTCACCCAAAAATGAAAATCTAATATGTGAATCCAATATGTCTACAAAGCTAATGGCAAACTAATTGATGCCTGACTGTGATTGATTATTTCATTGCATCGCTTTCGCGATGGCGCCGACGCTGATGGCTGCCTCCGTGGCGTGCTCCGCAGTTGTTTTTATGTTTTTGTTAGTTTGTCCTTTCTTTAGTTATATCCCTGCAATCAGTTTCACCAGAGACGAATTGCTGGACATTCAGAAGAACACACCACCTGATATTTCACCGGTTTTCGATTATTCTGATGTTTTGCTGGACATTGTAGTTGGGGGAAGCGAGCCGGCGCGCTTGTGAAGCTCCGACAGTGCGGATTCAGGACGCCGTTGCCTAGCATCCATCTGGCGAACCTCCGCTCTCTACCCAACAAAACGGACGAACTCCTTCTGCTCTCCTGGACAAATAAGGATTTTTCAAACTCTGCTGCTCTGTGTTTCACGGAAACCTGACTGAAAGACGCACCCTCCCTTCTCTCCAAGAACTGTACTTATCCAGAGTGAGCAAAAGGGCTGGCAGAATCACTCTGGACCCCTCACATCCAGCACACTCCCTCTTTGAACTGTTGCCATCTGGTCGACGCTACAGAGCACTGAGCACCAGAACGGCCAGACACAGGAACAGTTTCTTCCCTCAGGCAATCCATCTCATAAACACCTGACAATAACTATGGAACACACAACACTATTTATTCACTCATACACTTATTTATCTAACACACATACTCAGTCTACATTTCAATTTGCACATAATATACCTGTACATACAACTGTCTATTGTTATATACCTGTACATACAATTGTCGATTTGTATATTTTTTATTCCTTATTTACTTGTTCTATTTTAAAAAATTTTTTAATTTTAATTTTTTATTATCTGTGTTTTTTTTTGTTCTGTCACTGTCATTCTGTTGCACTGTGGAAGCTTCTGTCACGAAAACAAATTCCTCGTATGTGTAAACATACCTGGCAATAAAGCTCATTCTGATTCTATGTACGCATCTCAGCAGAGTGCATGCCTCCGCGATTTACCATGTTTTTGTACTGTATCTCGTGTAAAATGAGGGTTGCCGCTAACAAAGGCAGAGTTGCCCACTTGTTTCTGTCCTCTGCAGTACTTGCAGTACAAATTGTCCTCAAAAATGAGCCATGGGAATGTTTTCTGCCACTGTGGATTAAAATTGTATTTCCTACCAGCAGTGGAGGATAAACCGACCGTTATCGCCGCTTGGTCCCTCTTTTACGTTTTCATCGCCCTCCTCTTCCATATCCTCCTCATGATCTACTGTTTCTGTCACGCTCTGTCTTATGAAATTATGATGTTTTTTTTGGTAAAAAATAAATAATTATTCGCACACGTGCAACTAAATACATTTTCCAGTTCGCACACATCTATTTTTAGTCGCAAATGTGAGTGAAATGCTAGCACTGTCGAGCCCTGGCCCCCTGTAGCGAATCCATGTGTTTTTGTAAGAAAAATATCCATATTTCAACTGTAATAAACACTTTTCTCTCATCATACGTTTTTCTTTGCAAATCTTCAGTTTGTACTTCTAATTCGTGACCGGCGTTTTGTTTTGTTGTCTCTCTGCATCCGTCACTAATTACGCTACGCCGCGCGTCTTACGTCATCCGACTGCAATGATAGAGCTTGGAATAGCCAGGACAATTTTTTTATATAACTCCGACTGGATTCGTCTGAAAGAAGACCGTCATAAACACCTAGGATGCTTCGGGGGTGAGTAAAACACAAGACAATTTTCATTTTTGGGTGAACTAACCCTTTCAGTCTCTGTTCAAAGCTGCGGTACACTCTTACATTCAGTCCAAATCCAATGTGCTGCTCTAATTGGTAGAATGAGATGGAAACGATAAGATTTCAAATGATCGTCAGAACAATATTGCACAATTTCATGTTTTTTAATGTAAAATATTTGAGTCATAAGGCTTTTATGGTAATTTATTGATCACAACAAAAATATTTTTCATTGAATTTAAAGTGTTGATGTTAAATGATTTCTATTGATTTCATTGAACTGTAGCTCAGAGGGAATCTTTTTCCTGCCATGACAACACTGTGTCTTTGTACCGTAGTGTACCGCTGTGCATGTGAAGAGTAAAACTCTGAGCTGTGATTGGACTGCAGCAGAGGCGCTGATGAACTAATAAAATACATTTCACTCACAGGAACGTTGTTACACTGATCAGAGGAGTGGATGTGCGTTTGTTCCCGCTGATCAATCTTACATTAAAGCTTCTTTATTATCAGTTATTATAATTCTGTGATTTTACACTGTCCTGCTGTTTTGTTTTTAATGTGAATCCTCAAATTCAAATTGCAATGTTTATATAAGCCTTTTTTTATACACATTATTTGATTCATTGACTTCAATTTGCACACTGTATGGAGGAGAACATTTATTATTGTGATGAGATAATAAATAAAATTAGACTTTTTTTGTCCAGCTAATCAAAGCAGTGATCGCCAGATTACTAGATTATCAGAGTAGTCATTAGTTGCAGCCCTGGTGAATTTACTTTTGAAACTCCTGTACATCTCACGTCAAAATGAAAGTGATCAGCAATCAGCTGTCCTGATTCTGTGCCTGATTGAATTAATTTGTTTTTTCAGAGATGCTCTGAAGCTGTTGAATCAGAGTGGTGAAAGGCTCTCAGCTCCTCCAGCAGCTGCGGTCGCTCCTCCTGCCCCGGTCTCCGTCTCTCCACCCATCGCCCCGAGCACCGGCCGCCCCACCTTCCCAGCCCTGTCTGTGCCCGGAAAACCTGGAATGCCGGTGAGCGGATGCTGCGTTTCATTTTATATGGTCATGCTGGAGGGAAAAAAAAAAGACATTTTAAAGCACACAGTTCTCTAGAATAAACGGTGTAGCATCAAGCTTTGCTGTAAAATAAAATCTTTCAGTAAGTATCGTGGAGGGGCTGTGGCTTCAGGCCTCGGAGAGTTTATTCTAAATGAACTGTGCTGAAAATATGAGAAGGGGAAATAAAATGTCGCTGTGGAATGACTGAGTTTTCAGGGCACGTTCACGGAGATCCCGGCCTCTAATGTGAGGAGAGTCATTGCACAGAGACTGACGCAGTCCAAGAGCACCATTCCTCATGCGTATGCTTCGGTCGACTGTGACCTTGGGCCCGTCATGAAGCTCCGGAAACAGCTGGCCACGGGTGGGACACCTTCATCTACATCACGCTAGAAAATCATAATCCACACAGAACAGCAAGACAGATGATTGGTGTTAGACTGCCTGTGCTTTGAGGACAGTGAAGTTTATGTGCTGCTTTCCAATAATATGTCTGTGATGAGTGGATAATTCCTCAGGCCGCCCCACCTCCCTTTCCATCTATCTCTGTTCCCGAAAAACCTGGAATGCCAGTAAAAAAACAATTCCAGTTCCAATTCCGTAAAAAAAAATAAGATGATTTAATAATAAATACATTTTTTTTAAAGGTATGTTTACGCAGACTTTTTGTCTTTTGTCTTTTTGTTTGGACTACACTGGTGATGAAACATGATTTCTGTGTGAAAACATTAGCACACGTTTGATGCACTGATGATTAACCTCAGATTCGTTCGTTTGTAAAGCGTCTCAGCCGTGTGCTAACAGCAGTGTTTTGTGTTTGTGTGTTCAGAGGACATCAAGGTGTCAGTCAATGATTTCATCATCAAAGCGACTGCCGTCTCACTCAGAGTAAGTCATGAATGACAGTACTGTATCAAATCATTCATTCACAGCGGTGTTCATTTCCACTCTTTATGAGAAATTAGACCGTGATGTCATTCATTCATTAGCCACTGTTAGTGTTAAATAGGACACAGTTTTACCCCAAATGAAGGATCTTTTATATATATATATATATATATATATGTGCTGCCTTTCAGAAGCAACACAAGATATTTACATATTTCCCACGATCAGCTTGCTTACAGTAGTCCATTCCCTGTGTTTATTGCCTTCTTGAGCATAAACGAACATTTACACGTGTTGTAAAATGCGTGTGTCCCGCAGGAGATGCCAGAGGTGAATGTGATGTGGTCCGGTGACGGGCCGCAGGCTCTTGACTACATCCACATCTCCATCGCCGTGGCAACACCACGGGGCCTCATAACCCCCATCATCAAAGATGCTGCTAACAAAGGGCTGCAGGAGATCGCTGCTACCGCTAAGGTCATTTAACATCCTATAATAATCATCAGAGTTAAGCTCCGAGTGCATATGGGTGAATTTCCATCAGGGAATATAACGCTGATTATGTAAGCACGTGAGATCTGAGGTGTTATTTAATGATTGTTGTGTTGCATCATTAGCATATTAAAGAAAGAGCTCTGTTCTGTTCTCACATGGCTTCGTCTGTCTCTTTCAGGCTCTGGCGCAGAAAGCTCGGGACGGGAAGCTGTTACCAGAGGAGTATCAGGGAGGATCTTTCAGGTGAGTACCATTTCATTATTTGGAGTAAAACCTGTATAACTTTCTTCCAAAGAATTGCAGTGGTCAATGTTTTCATTGCAATTACAAAAAAAACACACTGAAAGCACAATAAAGGTGTTACATGCGACTAGTGCTCTATATTTCAGGTGATCTAAAGCCTACAGTAGTGTGAGGAACAGATATTCAGTGAAAATCATCTGGCCTAACTCTCCTCATCCTGTTCATTAGAGAAGTAGAAATAGTCTGATATTTACATTGAATCAGCCGATTGAATGGATTTACTGCTGGAATTAAGATCAGAAGCGGTCAGACTGGATCAACAAAGTTCACCTAAAGACCCCATCAAATCAAAATTACAATGTTATGTTTTAGGGGTCAGTAATTATGATTTCCATTGAGGTGAATGAAGTCTTGTCAGTGTCAAGACCACAAAAAGTGTTCGAGCCGTTATTCTGTACAGAATATTCTGTTTAAAGTGCTATAACATCGTACATTTACATTACATGTGATCAGATGCTTTTATCCAAAGCGATTTACAAATGAGTTGAATAGAAGCAAACATAAATGTATGTTAATGCTGTTATAGTATCTGTCCCGTCACTAGCTTGTGCCAGCGGTGGGTCAGAGGTGATGACGGGGTGGACGTTTGTTCTGTGTCTGCGCATCTCCTGTATTACGCAAGGAAAAGGAGGAAGTAGAAAACACGAGCTCGGTTTCAATAAAAGCTGTTTTAGAGAAATTTGCTGTATGTTTTTTTTAGTACAATGACCTCTTTCTCTTGAATTGATTTCTCAATTCATGACTCCTTTATTATTCCAAGACTTAGAGAAATAAATGTAATGTTTGTCAACATCAGCTGGTAGTCAAGGCAAACAATTACTCAATTCATTATTTAATTCTCTATATATTGTTTTTGCTTCCTTTTCATTAATTCGATATTTAAAGGGGTCATGGCATGGATTGTTTTATTATTTTAAAGGTCCCATATTGTCAAAACTGAAATTTCC